CTCGCTATCTCTCTGTCCAATAATAAAAAAAATCTTAAAAAAAAAAAAACTTTAAAAAAATTAAAAAAATAAAAATAAAAATTTAACATAGTGAAGTTAGATTAAATAATTGCACCTACCACAGCTCTTTGTCTACTCAAAATAGAAAGGTCAGAAGAGGTTTACATAAATTCAGACATCCCTAATAACACAAGGATTAGCTGGTGCTAAAATCCCAATATGAAGAATCAGAGTATGCATGGGGAGAGGAGACCTGTGGGTTTGGCTGAAGAATACAGTGCTGACAATGTGGCTGGGTGGGAATAAGAGAAGCAGAGTAAACTAAGGTAAAATCCTTGAATTTTTTTTTCTATGGGCAACCAGTTTCTATCTTAGTTTAACAAAATATTTCAAAGATGTGCTTAATGTTCAGTTACAGTTTAGTCACTTATTTAAAAAATCATAATTTGGGAAAAAACCCATGTTTTGCTTGCTTTATTAAAAAAGAAAAAAAATTTTAAATTTAAAAATTTTAAAAGGAGGGGAGGACACCTGGGTGGCTCAGTTGGTTAAGCGACTGCTCAGGTCGTGATCCTGGAGTCCCAGGATGGAGCCCTGCATCGGGCTCCCTGCTCGGCGGGGAGTCTGCTTCTCCCTCTCACCCTCCTCCCTCTTGTGCTGTCTCTCATTCTCTCTCTCTCAAATAAATAAATAAAATCTTAAAAAAATAATAAAAAATAAAATTCTTTAAAAAAAAAAAAAGGAGGGGAGGCACACAAGTCTTCCTATAATGTAGTTCTGTAACTCTATGTCTTCAGAAATTATGAGATGAATTCATGGGCAAAAACATGCGGAAATTAGTTTAATAATCCTACAATTTTTTCACCACTGAAACTATCCCTGATTTTTGGAGAGGTAAGGTTGATAATCACAATGTGATGGGGAGAATGAAGGAGAGAAAAGTCATATGGGAGACGAATATACAAAACAGTTATAATCCAACTGTTTTTTGTTTGTTTTTTAAAGCTGGACATTGAGTTTAGATGGGACTTTGATATTCTGCCCATAAAAAATGCTTCTGGGAATCACAGGGCTCTTTGCCTTTGGCCAAAGCACAAATGAATGAGTCACAGAGATACAAAACCTAGAACCCCAGGCTGCCCAACGCACTGGGAAAATATCGGACCTTCATTAGCAAGAGTTTCAGTATTTGATGTGTCCTTGAAATGCCCTCTCTCCATCACACACAGAGACACACACGAAGCTGGTCACATAAGAGCAGTACTAAGCAGTAAGAGAAATGCACAGTAGCCGCAGGAACAGCAAAAGCAATAGGTAACTATTACATGCTCTCAAGGGGAAAAAAAGAAACCCTTTAAAATCATTGTGGAGTGCTTTATACCACTGCTATGTCACAGGTATAGGATTCCTCCTAAAAAAAATGAATTTGTGGGCGCCTGGGTGGCTCAGTTGGTTAAGCGACTGCCTTCGGCTCAGGTCATG